TTTTTTAAAGATTTATTTATTAATTTGAGAGAGCGAGAATGAGAGAGAGAGAGAGCACACGAGAGCGGGGAGGTTCACAGGGAGAAGCAGATTTCCTGCCGAGCAGGGAGCCCGATGAGAGACTCGATCCTGGGACTCCAGGATCGTGACCTGAGCTGAAGGCAGTCGTTTAACCAACTGAGCCACCCAGGCGCCCCTAAAGATTTTCTTTTAGAGAGAGAGAGCACGAGCAGGGTGAGGGGCAGAGGGAGAGGGAGTCAAGCAGAAGCCCCACCGAGTGGGGAGCCCAACACAGGGCCTGATCCCAGGACCCTGAGATCATGACCTGAGCCAAAAATCAAAAGTCGGACACTTAACTGACTGAGCCACCCAGGCACCCCTCTACCAAACACTTAAAGAAGAGTTAATACCCATTGTTCTCAAACTATTCCAAAAAATAGAAGGAAAATCCATTCTCTGAAGCTGGCACTACCATGATACTAAAACCAGATAAAGACACTACCAAAAGAGAGAACTACAGGCCAATATCTCTGATGAACACAGATGCAAAAATCCTCAACAAAATACTAGCAAACCAAATCCAACAATAACGTTAAAAAAATCATTCACCACGATCAAGTGTGATCTATTCCCAGGATGCAGGGGTGGTTCCATATTTGCATATCAGTCAGTGTGCTACATCACATCAGTAAGAGAAAGGATAAAAACCATACGATCATTTCAATAGATGCAGAAAAAGCATGTGACTAACAACATCCATTCATGATAAAAACCCTCAACAAAGTAGGTTCAGAGGGAACAAACCTCAACATAATCAAGGCCATATATGATAAACCCACAGCTAACGTCATACTCAACGGTGAAAAACTGAGAGCTTTTCCCCCTACAGTCAGGAACGAGGCAAGGATGTCCACTGTCACCACTTTTATTCAACATAGTACTGGAAGTCCTAACCGCAGCAATCTGACAACATAAAGAAATAAAAGACATCCAAATTGGCAAGAAAGAAGTAAAACTGTCACTGTACGCACATGACATACTCATACTATATATAGAAAACCCTAAAGACTCCACCAAAAAAACCTCGCTAGAACTGATAAATGAATTCAGTAAAGTTGTAGGATCCAAAATCAGTGTACAGAAATCTGTTGCAGTTCTTCACCCTCATAATGAAGCAGCAGAAAGAGAAATTAGGAAAACAATTCCATTTACAATTGCACCAAAAATAATAAAACATCTAGGAATAAACCTAACAAAAGAGGTAAAAGGTTTGTACTCTGAAAACTATAAAACACTGATGAAAGACATTGAAGATGACACAAATGGAAAGACAGTCCATGCTCATGGATTGGATGAACAAATATTGTTAAAATGTCCATACCACCCAAAGCAATCTATAGATTTAATGCAATCCCTATCAAAATACCAACCGAATTTTTCACAGAGCTAGAACAAACAATCCTAAAATGTGTATGGAACCCCAAAAGACCCCAAATAGCCAAAACAATCTTGGAAATGAAAAAGCTGGCAGTATCACAATCCCAGATTCCATGTTACATTACGAAGCCGTAGTAATCAAAACAGCACGGTGCTGGCAGAAACATAGACACACAGGGCGCCTGGGTGGCTCAGTGGGTTGAGTGTCCTACTCTTGATTTTGGCTCAGGTCATGATCTCAGGGTCCTGGGATCAAGCCCCGTGACAGGCTCTGCACTCAGTGAGGAGTCTGCTTGAGGATTTCTCTCCCTCTCCCTCTCCCTCTGCCCCTTCCACTTGGGCATGCACTCTCTCTCTCTCTCAAGTAAATAAATCTTAAAAAAAAAAAAAAAAAGACACACAGATCAACAAAACAGAATAGAAAGCCCAGAAATAAACTACACTTATAGGGTTAATTTTTGACAAAGGAGGGAAGAATATCCAATGGGAAAAAGATAGTCTCTTCAACAATTGGTGTTGGGAAAACTGGACAGCTACATGTAAAAGAATGAAACTGGACCACTCACTTATACCATACACAAAAATAAATGGGTTAAGGACCTAAATGTGAGGCCTGAAACCATAAAAATCCTAGAAGGGAGCACAGGCAGTTACTTCTCTGACATCGGCTGGAGCAACTTTTTTCTAGATAGGTCTCCTGAGGCAAGGGAACTAGAAAGAGAAATAAACTTTGGGACTACATCAAAAATAAAAAAAGCTTCTGCCCAGCAAAGGAAACAATCAACAACACTAAAAGGTAACCTACAGAATGGGAGAAGATATTTGCAAATGACATATCCAATAAGGGGTGAGTATCCAAAATATATGAAGAACTTATACAACTCAACCCCAAAAAGATAATCCAATTAAAAATGGGCAGAAGACATGAACAGACATTCCTTCAAAGAAGACTTCCAGATGGCCAACACACACGAAAAGATGCTCAACATCACTCATCATCAGGGAAATGCAAATCAAAACTACAATGAGATATCACCTCATGCTTGTTAGATTGGCTAGAATTAAAAAGACAAGAAATAACAAGTGTTGGTGAGGATGGGGGGTTGGGGAAGGAAACCTCATGAACTGTTGCTGGGAATGCAAATCAGTGCAGCCACTATGGAACACAGTATGGAGGGTCCACAAAAAATTAAAAATAGAAATACCATATGATGATCCAGTAATCGGTATTTACCCAAAGAAAATGGAAACACTAATTCGAAAGGATACAAGCACCCCTATGTTTATTGCAGTATTATTATTTTTCTCAAAGACTTTATTTATTTGAGAGACAGTGAGCAAGAAAGAGCACAAGCAGAGGGGAGAGGGAGAGGGAGAAGCAAACTCCCCGCTGAACAGAGAGCCTGACGCAGGGCTCGATTCCAGAACCTATGACCATGACCTGAGCTGAGGCAGATGCTTAAATGAGCCACCCAAGATGTGGCTGCCATCTTGGTTCCCTTCACTGGCCTGGAGGTTACAGCACACAGAGAAGCCCTTACTGAATTCATCCAGCAAGCCTTAGATGATAGCCAACAAAGTCTGTTGTTACTGAACACTGAAATGTCTCTGATGAGAATAGCTATTCTCCAAACTAGGATGGCCTGAGACATTATTACTCCACAAGGAGGCACCTGGGTGCCATTATCCAAACAGAATGTGGTGTGTTCACAGCTGATGAGTCTGCTAATGTATGATCTTTATTAAATCACATAAGGACATAAGTGAACGGCCTGAGTGATCCAACCCCCAGCCTCGGGAACTTATTAAATCAGTGGTTCGAATCATGGGGCTCTTAGAAAAAGCTGTCACTGATTTTGGAATCAGTGTCTTATTCTGCATTCTCTCTTACACGTGCCTATGTTGTTGCTGGGGCATCTGCCTCCAGTGTAGCCAGAGAGCCACCAAAGGAGCCACTTCCAAGTGAATCAGATCCCCTGCTGATGGCTCAGAGCCCACTGCAGAAAGAGGGGCACCCAAGACAAGTTCCCTTGCTCAGTAAACCCGCCACCTTCCCACTTGGAATGGCTGTCTCTTTCTTCCATTTCTCCCTCCGAGTGTGGGGACCCATTTCAGGTTATACCTGGGAAGCTCCAGAGGGGGTTACGAACCAACAAAATGATAAACAGGTGTATGGATGAGACAGACATATGGATGGATGGGTAGAAAGACAGAGGGAAGATGGAATGGAGAGGTAAGTGCCTGGGGAACTGGGAGGCGAGGGTCGCATGAGGAATGGGTACCTTGCTTTCGATGCCCACCCTTCCCCTCTTACCGGTCTCCAGGCAGAACTGGCCTCCCTGCCTCTGCCGTGTTTAAAGCTGAGCCGACCCCCCAGGCTGCCAACTTCTGTGTAACACCAGCCTCACCCCGGGAGGCCAAACCAGCTAGAAGCTGGGGGCACAAGGCCCTGAACATCCACAGGTTCCAGTGAACGTGGGCCCTGGGACCCACGTGTCTTGATCCCAGGACTCCAGCCGCCACCCCGGGATCCCAACACTGACCTGCACTTGGCTCTGGGCAGCAGCGACCCTCTTGCGGAACTCCTGGAGCTGGGACCGCTCTCCGGCGTCCTGAGGCTCCTTGCCCTCGAGCTCCCGCAGCTGTCTCTGGCTTTCACTCAGCTCAGCCCGCACCTGTTCTGCATCCCGCTCCAGCTCCTGAATATGCTCGCTGTGCTGGCGGTTGAGGGCCTGGGCCGCCTTCCCTGGAAGAAGGGGGGGGGTGCTCATCACAGGCCGCCCCTCTCCCCCAGGAGGATCATCCCTTCACACCCCTGGGAGGGGTTCCAGTCACCCGCCAGCCAGGGGCACCTGCATGGGCTTTGCCAAGGTACCACAGGTACCATGAGTTAATCTACTTTCTTTTAAATCACTCGCTTTTTAAATGGGCCTTATCAGTAACAGCAATCCAGGGATATTAATGGGTTAAATTGGCTTTAGTTTTACCTAATACATACTAACAAATATAGAGCTTGGGCCTGCATATTATTAAGCCTCTAGAACTAACTTCCATTTGCAGGAAATCTGAGGACAGAGGAGCAAGTTAAATAACAACATGAAGAAGCAAATAGGCAAACCGAGAACATGGGGTTGAGGGGGTGGGGGTTGAGACATTCTACAGGACTTTGAGAAGGAGCTAGAAGGGAGACTTCAGACGCCTAACAAGCACACACAGCATGTGGGACACATGTGGAGCTGGGTTCCAGCAAACCAGCGGTCCACAGACCCTGCCGAGGAACTTCGGGGACGGCCGTGCCCTGGGCATCCAGGTGACAGGAAGTTTTGTCAGATGTGCTCACGGCATTTTGGTTAAAATGTCCAAAAAGAGGCATACCGAAATGTGTGGGGGCCAAATGACAAGATTTGTGGGGATTTGCTTCAAAACACTCAGCAAAGAGAAAAGGGAGAGATCAATGTGGGGAAAACCTCGTAACACTAAATCTGGGTAATGGGGTGAGGACCCCACTGGCCCAGTCTCTCCTCCTGTGTTTGAAATTCTTCATCAGGCATTTTGTAACAAACATGTAACTATTAAAATAAAAAGTCTCAGCTGGTCACTACCTCAAACCATTCCCAGGCCCTTTACACACATCACCAGGGGTAGACAGAGCATGATTTGGGGACACTGTTTGCTCCCTAAGACCAAGAGGTCTGAGTGCACCACACTGCCTCACACAGCAGACAACTAGTAAATACAACTACTCCTCATAGGTAATGCTTCCTGAGAACCAGCCTAATTACTTCAGCTGAATTAACTCACTTCAACAACCCATAGAACAGGGACAATTACTATCCCCACTTTAGAGATGAGAAAACTGAGTCACAGAGGCGCTATCCTACTTGCTCAAGGTCCTACAGCTGGAAGAGGCTAGCTGGTTACCAAACTTAAACCATCTGGCCCCTGCTCCTAACCACCCTCAGGTGGGAGACCCACCCGAAAGCCCACCACCTCACCTGTGCGGACCAGCTCGCCAATGAGCTCCTCCTTCATGCGGATGTTGATGGCCAGTTCTCGGATCTTCTGTTGGGCTTGCGCCAGCCGCCACTCAGAAGCCATGGCAGCGGGGGTCTGACGGGGTCGAGCCAGGGCCTTGCTCCCACCAACGACTGTAACAAGCCCACTGTCAAGGCCGCTGCCCCAACAGGGGGTGGCGGGGGAGGGAAGAAGCACGCCCTGGGCAGGGGCAGCCAGGGATGAGGTGTGGACTGTCCAGGATGGCTAGTGCAGGACCACGGAGGGGAGGGTCAGAGCCCTCTCCGCCCCGGACCCAGCTCACCTCTGGGCCCCGGGATGGCTGCACCCAGTTCCTCAAGGTGAAGCTCTGGGCCCTTCTTGTCGAGTGGACTCCCTGGGCAGGCCCCCACCCTCTGGCTCCACTTGCTGATCCCGTTTCTGGAAGACAGAAGCAGGAGTCTGTACCCTTCCCAGCCAGAGGAAGGAAGAGAAGCCATTGGGCCTTCTATCCCCTCAGGGCCAATGGAACCCCAGGGTGTTAGTCTGGAAGAACTGAGGCCAGGGGGGCTGAGCTTAGGGGGCGCTGGGCTGTTGGGGGCACCGAGGGCCGCCTTGAAGGCTGAGAACTGGGAAGCCTCGGCCCACCCTGCAGCACATTCACCCCAGTGAGGACTCTGGGTCCCAAGCCCCCCGCCCCCATCTGTTCTTCCCAACTGCACGGGGGAATGGAGGTGAGGGCACCCTGAGACCACAGCGGGGTCCTCCCCCTGCCCAGCCTGGGCCCTGAGGTGGTTTCTGTCGGGTGGCAGCTGGTCCCACTCACCTGCGCAGGTGCAGGGTCCGCTGGGGGGGCTCCTCCTCCTCCTCGTCCGAGGCAGCTGAAGAGCCGCTGCCGGGCCTGTCTGCCTCCGCCGTGGCTCTAGCCTCTCTGCCATTTGTCACCTCCTAGGGGAGTGCCAAGGGCTTCAGGACAGGAAGGCTCCAGGGCGCCCTCCACCAGGCATTTCCCATCACCAGTCTTGGTGCCCCCCATGCCCCGCCCTGCCCATCCCAAGTTGGAGCAGGAGCTCCCTCCCTCCCCCACCCAGCACCTGGGACTCCTCAGGTGACAGTCTGCCCTATCTTTGTATACAGGCCATCTGCACCCAAGTCTTTATCTCACCAACAACACTCTGCCCGAGTGGTGGGTGTGTAACAGACTCCTGCCAAACTCACGCCCTCCCTCTCCTCTGTGCTTTTACAGCGGAGATGACCCAGAGCTTTCAGGAAGATGCAGGAGCAGCCTTTGTCCAAAAGGTCCCAAGTAGGAGGCCAAGCTCAGGGCGATTAGGGCTCATGGGAAAGTAAACTTGCAAAGACAGAAGGGGTAACCTCAGAGGTGATAAGCTCCCCATCTCTGGAGGTATGCAAGCTTCCCATCCAGTGCCGGAAGCCAGAATCCCCTCTGTAACCTCCACAATCTGCAGCCAGCCCAGGGATGCCCAATGGCAGCAGATCCTTCTGAGCGGCCCTACAGAGTCACCCAAATTTTGGCCCTTCCTCTAGGGGCACTGGAAAGGGGCGTCTCCCAGCTCGTCCCAGGAAAGCCTGGGGTGAGGGCCACATTCCCTGGCACCGCCCTTCCTCTGCCCAAGGCTGTCCAGTTCAACAGACACCCAGCCTCACCACCTCCTCACCTCTCCCCAGTTCTCGGGGCCAACTTCATCTCCAGGAAGGCAGGCAGGGGGCACCATGCCCAGCGCGTGGCTGTGGGCACCCCCCAGGGGGGCTGTGTGAGGTCGGGGCACAAAGGACCCGGGAGGCAGGCCCTGCAGGAGCCCTGGGGCCCCCCAGCCGGGCCGCACCAGTTCTAGCCGCAGCCGCAGCTCTGCCATCTCCTGCTGCTGCTCCCGCAGCCGGTCGCTCTGGAAGACAAGTGCCTGGTGCTGATGCGGGGCGCAGGTGGGGAGGGCGCAGGGATGCCGACAGAAAACTGAAGAACAGGTCTGAGGCCACCCCACCCTCTCTGGGCTAAAACTGAGAAGGGCCAAATACCTCTGACCACCTCTTGGGCCCTCGCACCGCCCCCCCTCCCCCCGCACTAGTTCAGGGTCAAACTCACCCCACCCAGTTAAGTCCTATCCCTCCCTCCGTCAGTCCGCCACTTCCATGCCAATCACAGCCGCCAGAGGGCGCCAAGATCAATGCTGACCCAGTTACCTTGGGACAAAAGGGCCTGACTCCAGGGACCAGACCCGCTGCCCCTCCAGTCCCACCTCTCATCCCGCACACCCACCCGCACCATCTGTTCCTCACCTCCACACTTGCTCACTTGTTCCTCCCCCATCTCTTTCCACCCTGTCAGAAGCCCGCCCTGGCTAACTCCCTCTTCTCTGAATTTCACCTCAAGGAAGCCTGCCCCCCACCTGCAGTTTGTACTGCTCCATGGCGTCCTCCAGCGCAGCCAGAAAGTCTCGGTTCTCCTCCTCCAGCCGGGCCACCTGGCTCTGCAGGGCAAGCAGCTGCATTGCCCCTTCCTCGTCCTAAGGGGCAAGGAGAGAGACTTCAGGACAAGCCTGCCTGTCTCTGGGACACCCCAGCCCTCCCTCTGCCCTGCCAGGGGTTCCCCTAGCCCAGCTGGCCACTCTGCTGCAAGCCCTGGCAGCAATCGGGGCTCCAGAGCCCACCCTGCCAGTGGTCCCCTCTGCAAGCTATTTGCGCCATCTCTTGTCATTATTAATCATACTTTTATTAATAATAACATCACCACTATTATTAGGAACCACCTACTGAGGCTCCACAGCATGCTGGGCTGGGCACTTGGTACCCCTTCGGCCCTTAGAACATGCCCAGAGGTAGATAACCAATGTTAGCCCCATTTCACAGATAGAGACCCTGAGGCTCGGGGAGGGTAAGGAATGTGATCGAGGTCATCAGCAGTACTGCCTCTGAATCGGCAATGTGCTCTGCTGATGGACAAGGGGCAGGGGCACGGCTGGCTATATGAAGACCTCTTCCTTCCCCGTTCCCTCCCTCCCCGGGGCCACACCTGGCCCTTGGCCACCGTGGGCCCGCCGGGCCCCTGCGTGGCCTGCTCCTCGGCTGAAGCGCTCTCGATGCCGCTGTCGGGCCCGGAGGCGGAGCTCAGGGCGCTGCGCTCGCCCTCGACGGCGCACAGCCAGTCGCGCACCTTGCGGGCGGCGGCGCCGGGCAGCCCGGG